TCACACAGAGAGGGAATATTTACAAAATTAACACCTTACAAATAAAAATCATACTTACGGCATAGCGCTAATTTTGACATTTTCCCTTTTTTGTACATAATTTTTGGGAATTAATCCTTCCCTGCCACCTTTCCTTGCTTTGTACCAATTTGGATCCTAAAAGAACAAAAAAATACGAAATATTGACAAGACACTAATAATACATTGAAACACCTGGATTGTTACTTTGATGCAGACTAATTTTATGACTCCACATGACACAAGTGATTTGTATCGCAAAAGTCTCTGTAAACATGTCACCATCAACGGCTGTACATTGTATGTACAATCAATCTCTATCCGATAGTTGAAAAAAATGCATCCTTAACAATTTCAGTAAGTTTAATATTTAATTCATATGGGCCAATAATATTAACGCATTAATTTGGCTAAAAAAACAAACAGAATTCGGTCAAATTATCGGCCAATATCAAAAATACTGATAAACAACTTTTTTCAAATTTGTCAGAATACTGTTAATATAATATTTCTATAAGGTCAATTAAATTGCAGTTCTTACATCTGAACTTGTTTCCATGGAAACAATGACTTTCCTCACAGCATTAAACTGTGGTGGCTTTTGTTGTGAAATTATGGTACGTAAATGTTGAACAACAACACTATTAAACCTAGGTTGCCTGTATCTCTATATTTGGTTAACTGTTAATTAAAGTTTGAAGTACTGTACTAAAATTGGACGGTAAACAAAAATAAAACATGTTGAAGGAATTTGGGTGTGGTCATTTTTGTGACTCGATGACATCATCGTACTACAATTTTTTTCTTCTTTTGCTAATCACAAAAAAAGAATGTCTGTCCCATGTTACTATCCATGACCATCAAGAAGCATTCAGTTTTCAAAATAGAACTACCTTAAAAATAGTTTATTTGCATATCACATAGTTAGATACATGTATATATATATGAGCAGGAACTGAGAGGACTGAAATTCACTAAGAATGGGTGTTGTGTCATTGCATTGATAGATGGAAAGAGGAAGAGATTTTATAACAAGATGACCTTATTTGAACTTTTAATTTACAATAAGATATGCGTGACTAATAAGATTCGATCTATGTATACACAGTGTATCATTTCAACAAGACATCAGTTTTCCTGATAACACCCAAATAACACGAACATGTGTTCAAATGGATAACGGAACTGAAAGTGGCAGGCCTATTTTTTTAAGCCATCCATATTTATGACTTTCAAGTTTATTAGTTATGAATTATTCA